TGGCAAAGCGGCTTCAGACAACGTTTTGAAGCAGTCCTTGGGATGCTGCCCTAGACTGTTGCGTAAAGTGCACTGCTAGCAGAGTGGGAGCTGCTGCAGCGATTACTCCACGCATGCAACGTGGGCAGATTGCTCACGTGTTCAGGGCTGTGGAGCGGAAAACAGCTAGACTGCAAGCACATCTCTTCCAAGCCTCGTAGCGACAGTCAGGCTGGAAAAATCAAAGCTGTAAATTCCCTCTGGCCAGCAGTAGGCCCGCTCTTTCAGGCAGCAGTAGGCCCGATCTTCGGTTCCTTGGTGGGGGGAGGCGACCGTCATCGCAATGAGTGTGAGGAGCACGAGGGGTGGTCGACAAGAATGGACAGAGGAAACAATGAGCAATAGGGTGAGGTGAAATCGGTGTTGAGTTCACTTGTGGCTACCGAGCAGAAGGGAAGCAGAATGTACCTCTGTAAGACGGCACATAACAAGGAACCAGAGATTTGGTGCATGCTGCTTCAAGTAGGCACTTGCTGTTGCTGAGGCGAGCCTGTGAGGCTGGCCTGTGAGGTCGGCCGGGCACAAGTCTGTAACCAGCGCGGTAAGACTAAGGTGCAACATGGCCGTCCTCCACCGCCACCTCCTCGTAGGTAGACAACCAGCTCAAGACGAGTACATACCGTCTGCGGTGTGCAGGCGTGATAAGTACGGGTGAATCCCGAAAAAACGTGGCGTGCTGACGCCGAAGAGTTGGGGCTGTCATGTGGCCAGCAGTCCTCTTCAGAGGACAAGATGTAGCCGCAGCCTAGGCAAGAGTTAGGACGGACAGTATGCCGATCAAGTGCTTGGCAAGTATCGGCAATCCAAACAATATGCAAGTGCGGTTGGCAAGTGGCGCTGCGGTAATCCAATCCCAACCTGTGCAATTTCCGTGCCCATACCCACTTCCCGCCCAATTGCTGTCTGTTTTGGGTGAGGCTCTTTGAACGGTACACCGTGTGGGTGATCGCGTAGGCTGTTGATGTAAAGCTCGTATCCTCCTCCTCCTCCTCCTCCTGCTCCTGCTCCTGCTCCTGCTCCTGCTCCTGCTCCTGCTCCTGCTCCTCCTCCTCCTCCTCCTCCTCCTCCTCCTCCTCCTCCTCCTCCTCCTCCTCCTCCTCCTCCTCCTCCTCTCCGTAGCCATTCTGGCTCCAGCCGCGTCGGCTCGCGCCGTTCCGGGCTCCGGCGCTCGCCCTGGCCGCCGCCGCCCGCCCGCTGCGGGCTGGCCAGGCCCAGCGCGGGGCCCCTTCGGCCGGGGCGGGCGGCGGGGCCCTGCCTGCGGCCGCTGCCCGCGCGGCCGCCGGGGGCCCAGGCGCCGCGGCGGCCGGCGTCGGCGGCGGCGGGCGCCGCGGCGGCGGTCGCGCTGCGGGCGCGAGCCGCGCCGCCTGCGCCGCCGCCCGACGTCGACGCTGCGCGCGCCGAGGCTGCCGATGCGCCCACGGAGGCCCTGGCGGTGCAGGGGGCGCAAATAGAGGTCAAGAAATCCCCCCCCCAGAAAAACCACCCCGGCACGCGGAGTCGTTTAGCAAAAGCGCTCAAATAAGGAATCGGCCAGAGCAGGGCTGTTCAGAAAACGCCCAGGGTCGTTTAATAAACGCCCATTGTCCGGTCTGGGTGGTTCTTCCTCCCTGGAGCAAAGCTAAGCCTCTGCGGGCAAGGTGCTGCGGAGGCGCCGCCGCAGGCAGCGGCTTGCGCAGCGGGGCGCCGCGGAGCGCGCTGAGGTCCAGGAGGACGAGGGCGGCGACACGGGACGAGGACCTGGGCGACGAGTGGGCGGGCAAGCCCCATGTCGCAGCCACGGCGGGGGGTGCTGCTGCTGGAGCTGGCTCACGCGCTGTGGCGCCGAGTCCGGCGCAGGTGGGCGCTCTTCCCGACCATGCGGGTGCTGGTGAACCACAACGCGTCGCGCGACCGCCTCTCCCCCCCGCGTGCCTGCCGCGGGGGGTGCGCTCGGCGGTCGCGCGCCAACTCGCCTCGTGACTTCGCACGACTCGTGCCGCTCCCGCGGGGCCTGCGGCGGCTGCCGCTGGTGCGGCGGCCGCGGCAGGTGCTGGTGCGGCGGCCGCGGCAGGTGCTGGTGCGGCGGCCGCGGCAGGCGGAGCGGAGGCCGAGGAGCGCGCGGCGCTGGCGTGCGGTGCTCCCTGCTGCCGGCTGGCCCCGCGCTTCCGACGCCGACGCCCTGCCGCTCCACTCGCTGTGCTCGCTCGCGGCCGAGGCGGCGGCGGCCGACGCCTGTGCAGGGAGGGGGGCGCAGCGGAAGGGTCGGTGCCGTGCCCCCCGCGGACGGGGGGAGGGCGCCTGTCCCCTCCCCCCCTTCCTGCCATGGGGTTCGCCTACGGCGCGCTCCACTTCATACTCTTCTGGTCCTGAGGCGTGTTCGAATCGGACGCGCTCTGGGTGGCCCTCATCCCTCATCCCTCCACCTCCTCCTCCTCCTCCTCCTCCTCCTCCTGCCCCTCCTCCGCGGACCCCAGGAGCGTCG